TTGGCGAAACAGTTTTCTGAACTCAGGATAACAACACAGAGAAATTCAGAGTCTGGTAGTCTTTTACAGATTGAGTTTTAAATTTAAATTTATTATTTCCTCTAAAATGGAGATGTTGTTTTGTTTTGGCCACTTGAAGAGGTTCTCATTCATGTTAAGATATCTAGGTTTCGGAGTCAATGAAATTGAAGCAATTTATTGTTGTTGTGTGCCCTCAAGTCATTTCCACCTACAGCAACCTTACGGTGATACTATCAACAACAACAACAAAAGGTTCTTGTGGGTTTTTTCGGGCTTGCCATAGATGCAGGCGAAACGTCAGGAGAAATGCCTCTAGAACATGGCCATATAGCCCGAAAAAACCCACAAGAACCTAGTGATTCCAGCCATGAAAGCCTTCGACAATACAGCAACAACAAAACTTTATTTATATACCACTCTATCTAAACTTTATTTATATACCAAGGGTTTCCAAGCTGTTTCCAAGTGGCATCATCAATACATACAGAATAAACAACATAAACATAAAATACAAAACAATATAAGCATAAAAAAATCACATATATTTAAAATGATTCTGCCTGTTCAATGCAATTAAAAAAGGCCTGGCCGAGGCTAGTGCAATTTCTAGAGGGCCTGTGAAATTAGGTGCAAAAATAATAGGTACTGTCTATGGCTGTTCATTTCCGGGGCCTAATAGGAAGACGTGACCTGGGTAATTGCTAGATTAAGATATGTCAATATTCAACAATATCTGGGGCTGAGCTAGAACTTGTCATTCTCAAAGGCTTGTTTAAACCACCAGGTCTTCAAGCTGTTACGAAAGGAGGGGAGGGATGGGGCGTGTCTTATTTCTCTAGGAAGGGCGTTCTAGAGGTGGGGGGCCACCACCGAGAAGGCCCTCTCTCTCGTTCCTACCAACCGTGCTTGTGACGGTGGTGGGAATGAGAGGAGGGCCTCCCCGGAAGATCTTAAAGCTTACTCCGGTTCATAGAGGGAGATGCAATCAAGAAGATAGGCAGGGACCAACTAAGTAACACAAACTACAATATAAAAACATGACTTCCATTCTTCTTACTTCGCCTTTCTCTAATTTCTCATGTTCCCCTTCCCCTCTCCACATGGAAATGTTAGGAGGAGGGTATGAGGAATATCAATAGAAAATTTTCTCTACAAATTTCGATCTCTCGTATCTAACTATATATATATATATATATATATATATATATATATATATATATATATATAGTGCCCTTATATTATCAGTGGTCATATTAATTCAATATGGTGGGTAGTAGCTCTAGGTTGGTGATGGATGTTATGTTATCTTATTGTGAATTCTTTGGTTTTTGTCTTGTGAGTTACTTTATAAGATCTCTTATGTAATTATTAAAAAAAAGAAGATAGGCAGGGGTCCAACTGTTTACGGTTATATTGGCAAGATTGGATCAGAAGAGGTTTGCCATTGACTTCCTCTGAGGTTTAGAGAGAGAGCAACGTGATCAGGGTTACCCAGTGGGTGTCATGACCAAACTGGAGTTTGACCTATGGCGTCTACAGTCATAGCCCTACACCCTACTGGCGCAGAATTCAATCAATGCATATTTGCATAATTGCTGCTCCCTTTTAGACTGGTTCTTTGGATGCCAACCTAGAGTACAATATTTTGCTACTAGTTTATGGCTAAAAGTGGGTGGGAAGAGGTAGATGAGTGCTAGAGATGGTTGATTCCATACAGACGATCTCAAGCTCTGGCCACAACATTTCCCATGATTTGCATAAACCAAGGAAATCTTGTCTAACTCACAATATTCACAAGGCTCCTATTGACAAGATGAGGATCACAATGCTTCCTTCACATGATTGTTCTAAAGATAATGGGGACAAAGTGTAAACACTGCTATCAGTACTTGCACTGCCCAGTATTACTACGTTTCAAAGACTACCTGGCGGAGCAAGTATTTGTGCCACTGCAAGCGTGTACATTTATAGCTGTAGCTCAACTTTTATAACACCTTATTAAAGCAAAGTTAGGCCTTGTTTTTTGAAAAAGTCCCAGAAGCTGAGTGCTGAAATCCCTTTATTGCTCAGGAGAGTAAAACAGCCTCTTGAGTGCTATTATTGGAAATGTCTTTGTGTGCTCAAAGTGTCTGCTGAGAAATGCAGAGGCAAATGTTGTCCCAGGGTTTCATTGGAGGCCAGAACCAAACATCAGTGTTGAAGGGAGATGCTGAAATCAATTATTTGGTATATTTAAAATGGATTCTCAACTCAAGGGTTCCTGGGTGAGGTTTTCTGGATGCATTTCAATCCTGTATCAGGCCTAACTATGGGACAGAGATGGTTTTGGTCACCTTGGGGAATGATCTATGCAGAGAACAAGACAGGAGAAGTGTGTCCCTGATGGTTCTGCTGAACCTCTTAGTGGTTTTCAATACCATCAACCTTAGCGTCCTTCTAGGATGCTTCTCTGGGATGGGGCTTAGAGATATAGCGGCTCTGTTCTTTCCTGAATGTGAGATCAAGGGAGTGGGCCTTCTTGCTGGCTGCTCCCAAACCTTGAAGCTTCTCCCTGTCCTTGCTGTTCTTCCATAAGGCAGTCAAAAAAACTTCATGCCATTATGTCTTTAGAAACTGACTGAAGTAGGGTTATAATGGCTTGTTGTAGGTTTTCCGGGCTATATGGCCATGGTCTTGAGGCCATATGCCTCTAGACCATGGCCATATATCCCGAAAAACCTACAACAACCCAGTGATTCTGACCATGAAAGCCTTCGACAATACATAGGGTTATAATGTTGTATAGTGATGTTTTAATTTTTTTACATAGTCTTTTAATGACTGTTAATGTTTTTAATGTTTTATAAATAATTTAATTGTCTTTCCAATAATTCATACATTTATACTTTCACTAGTGGCTTTGTACACTATTTAACTTGCATAGTTTCTAAACAAGTTGTTAACTTCCTTGGGTCCCATTGTTAAGGAAATAGAATAAAAACGACTATCTAGCTATCCATCTACCCATTCATTTCTCTATCGATCTATTGATAACATTTCTGCATGTAGAATATTTTTATTATTTCTGATTTTATTTTAAAATAGTATTTTACCTGTTCTTGTATGGAAAGCCTGCTACATGTATTGTAACCACTTAAAGCAGTGATTCCCAACCTGGTCTGCAAGAATGAGAATATGGTCTGCGGTATCACCATCATTACACTAATGCCTCGAAACCACGCAGCAATGAGAGTGGCTGGTCTTGCAAAACCCTCTTATAGTGCCGAGGCAACAGGGCCGTCGGGAGGGGAAAGACTGTCTACCCACGAAAGATTACAACTACCACACCAGCTCTAGATTATTAAATATGGTTTTCTGTGGGCGAGCAGATGGTGCCTGCTGGATGGCATGTGTTCTGTATCAGAAACTAGAGCTGATGTGGTCTATCCAATGCAATTTTCTGAGTCTGCACCCCAAATAACCAAACCGAATGTAAAGTTGACCAAAAACCGATTTGTAACCCTTTTGGTACTAATGTTAGAGAGTGGTCCCTGGTCAAAATGGTCTCTGGTCAAAGTGGTCCCTGGTCAAGTGGTCCCTGGTCAAAGTGATCTCTAGTCAAAGTGGTCCCTGGTCAAGTGGTCCCTAGTCAAAGTGGTCTCTAGTCAAAGTGGTCCCTGATCAAGTGGTCCTGGTCAAAGTTGTCCCTAGTCAAAATGGTCCATGGTGAAGTGGTCCCTGGTCAAAGTTGTCCCTAGTCAAAATGGTCCATGGTGAAGTGGTCCCTGGTCAAAGAGGTCCCTAGTCAAAGTGGTCCCTGGTCAAGTGGTCCCTGGTCAAAGTGGTCCCCAGTCAAGAAGTCCCCGGTCAAGAGGTCCCTGGTCAAGAGGTCCCTGGTCAAAGTGGTCCCTGGTCAAGTAGTCCCAGATTAAAAAATGGTTGGGAACAATTGATTTAAAAGGTTGAAACCCACATTTGTCAAATACTGCCTCCTAGGTTCATGGAGGCACTTTTCCTAACATGTAGAACTGGTCCCAATGGGCACAAGTGCCATTCATAATTCTGCTTTGTTTGACATCTTACGGCAGCAGCTCAGAACTACTGGTCTGTTCCTAATTCCACCAATGTCATTGAAAGAGTAACTTAGCAAGTGCTTAGGAAGCTCAGCACTAGCACAGGGCCCAATTGGAGGTTGGTTGTAGAAAATGGAAGATGGCTACAGATGGAGGAAAGTTCCTTACCATGCAAGGAAAAGTATGGCCTCTTAATAATTGGGATTGGCACTTCAAATCTGAGCAGCTCGGCACATTCTATATAGAAATCAAACAAGTTCAAGATCATTTGGGAGGCTAAGCAGCAAGCCATAGATGAAGGTCCACAAGTGGGATCTAGGCTCATTTTGAGAAAGGAAGCAAACAAAGTGTGGAAAGGAGGGACATCTGTACAGCAGAAAGGCTAACTAGGAAGACTGGCAAAAAAGAGGCACTATCAACAGGAAAAGGCTGGAAAGACACAGGAAAACCAGCAAAAACGTGCAGGAATAGGACTGGTGCTTCCACCTTCTTGAAAAATTGTCCCATAATAGTAATTTTTTAAAAGTAGGACAGTTTGAGCTCTTTTGTGGCAGACTTGCCCCATTTCCATGCTCAAGTATTACACAACTGTTTCACAACATTTCTTTTTCAAGAATAGAAATGCTCACCGTGCAAGAAACATTATATTTTTGGTTTGGTTGGGTTTATGTGGGCAAGAAACCATTTCTGTCTGTAGTTACGCGCAGATTGCTCAATATTTGTGAGGTAAGTAACCGTAGAACCGATAACCTCGGTTAAATTTAGAAAGTTCATCATTCCAAACTATGCAGCTAAATTTAGAAACTTTGCACTTTGTAGGGCACCAGCCCTATTTCAGCACTGGGTTTTTGCCTGGTCAAAGGAGTCTGGATTCTAGCTGCTAGAACTAGGACAAAAATAAACTAGAAATTCACAGACAGTGCTTACTCTCCGGATGTGTTGTCTTTCATGCTGAAAAATACATGGAGGGGGGAAAAAACAAGAGAACAGAAATAAAACAACAAGGACACACCGACAATAAATCATATACATGCATACATGATCCGTGGATACAGATTGTCATGTGGCCAGGCAGTCATGCAAACAGCCCTTGGATCAAATAATAATAATAATAATAATAATAATAATAATAATAATAATAATGTCCTGCTTTAGCTATTAAATCTGTTGCTATTATAAAATACACAAAGGGTTGCACACAAACACATACACACACACAAACAATTGCTTTGATCTCTCTAGAACAGCGGTTCCCAACCTTCCTAATGCTGTGACCCCTTAATACAGTTCCTCAGGTTGAGGTGACCCCCAACCATAACATTATTTTCGTTGCTACTTCATAACTGTAATTTTGCTACTGTTGTGAATTGTCATGTAAATATCTGATATACAGGATGTATTTTCATTCACTGGACCAAATTTGGTACAAATACCCAATATGCCCAAATTGGTGGAGGGGGGGGGGATTGATTTTGTCATTTGGGAGTTGTAGTTGCTGGGATTTATAGTTCACCTATAATCAAAGAGCATTCCGAACCTCACCAATGATAGAATTGAAACAAACTTGGCACAAAGAACTCCCATGACAAACATAAAATACTGGAAGGGTTTGGTGGGCATTGACCTTGAGTTTTGGAGTTGTAGTTCACCTACATAGAGAGAGCACTGTGGACTGAAAAAATGATGGATCTGGACCAAACCTGGCCCGAATACTCAATATACCCAAATGTGAACACTGGTGGAGTTTGGGGAAAATAGACCTTGACATTTGGGAGTTGTAGTTGCTGGGATTTCTAGTTCACCTACAATTAAAGAGCGTTCTGAACCCCACCAACAATAGATTTGGGCCAAACTTCCCACACAGAACCCCATGACCAATGGAAAATACTGTTTTCTGATGGTCTTTGGCAACCCCTCTGACAACCCCCTCACAACCCCCCAGAGGTCCCGACCCCCAGGTTGAGAAACGCTGCTCTAGAAGTTTCACCTAAAAAAATAGGCTGCCAAAAACTTAGGCTGAAATAAACGGGTTGATCTTAAAGGGGCTCCAAGATTCTGCTCTCCTTGTTAACCCATAACTCAACATTATGGTCTCATGACTAGCTCTTCCAACATGACTTTTTCTTCCAAGTGTGGCTTTGTAAAAGCTGTGGAATTTCATGCATAGAGAACACCTCCACTGCAGGCATCATTGTTGCAAATGTCCTACAAATGCATCTGGTGGTGCAGACGTACATTCCTGATCCAGACAGCAGACCTCAAATGAATGTCACTAGATCTACTCATGCATTTGCCCATTAGAGAGCATAAGCTGCATGCTGCATGTAATTCAATATGGCTGAATCAAGGAATGGGATGGAACAAAAGCCATTGGCCAGGACCAGCTATAGCATTTGAACCTGACTGATGGAGACAGCAGAAGTCGTAGCAGAAACATGCAGACTGGTGTTTGTTGTGTTAGCCTTGGAGAAATAGAGCCAATATATGACAACAGAAAGCAACCTACCCAAGGAAATAATCTCTGCATTAACATCATCATTTGGGATTATTGGTGTTGAGTGGAAAATCTATATATGTAAAAGTCTAAGCATATTTGTTTGTTTGTTGTTTGAACCTCACATGCTGTTGCTAGGTGAAGTGTCCCCCTGTGATGTCACTGGATTGGCTGTTGCTAGGTGAAGTGGCCTTCTTGTGGTGTGACTAGATAAGAAAGGTTACATGTGTATGACAGGAAATGGAGGAGGGAAGGAAAGAGGCACAAGGAGCCCACCACAAAGAGACTACCATTATCAGAGTTTTGCCATAGAGACATTGTGAGGTAGCTGGAGAAGGGAGAAAGTAGGAAGGCAGCAGTCCTAATGACACCTGGACAATGCCAAGTATATACACTAAATGCAATATCTCCCCTTACGAAGCACTGAGGACTTTAAGATCATCTGGGGAGGCCTTGCTCTCGGTCCCGCCTTTGTCACAAGCACGTTTGGCAAGGACAAGAGACAGGGCCTTCCCAGTGGTGGCCCCTCAGCTATGGAATGCCCTCCCTAGGGAAATCAGATCTGCTTCATCCCTCTTTACAAATACAGAGTAACAAATATAGGAAATCGAATGACCTGACAATGGAATTGGATAATGCTTGAGAATAATGAGACACTACGATGTTGCTTTTATAGTTTTTGTGATGTTCTTATACTGTTTAATTTTTATCTATTATGTTTTATGTATACTGATTTGTTGGAAACCGCTTTGAGTTGCCAATTGGCTGAGAAAGGCGATATACAAATACAGTAAATAAATAATAATAAAATAATAAATAAATATTTCCCTTATGAGGGGGTTCTATGGCTCTAATTCCCCTTCAAAGGGAGGACACTGTATTTTTTTTTACTGAAAGAACAACATTTTAGAAATCTATGGTATGACCCAATCATCAACATCCACCAAAGTTGACCACAGAATTGCCCTGGAAGACTTTGAGATTTCTAGAGATGCATTCTCTCTAGTTGCTGTTGTGTGACCCTATGGACAACAGAAATTGACCCTAAAGTCAGCCTGGGGGACCTTCGGCGACAACATATTAATTAAATCCGCAAATAATAATATTCAGAAAAGTTAAACCTGCAAATGTGGAGGTTGTCTACATTATTTCAAAACATGAATTAGTAACCTGGTAAACATCCCTTTTTGGTCAAGTTCAGCAGGTTGTTTACTTTTCCTAGATGACTCTGTTGGGGAAATGGGTATGCTTTTGCATGCACATATAAGACCCCGCCTGGCATATTAACATTTGTATGTTATGTTCCATGTCTTATTTTTTCTCTCTGTTTAAAGCAAGGCAAAATGGAGTTAATTCCCTCTAAGACCCAATGGTTGCACAAAATAATGGAAATTAAGGACATGGATAAACTGACATTTCTACTAAAATCGAGCAATGGAAAGGGAATAAAAATGGCAGATTGGACAGTTTTTGAAGACTATATCAATAAGGACGGTAAATAAGAGAATTTTTGACAAAGACTGAGGAAAAGTTATAATTTTTGTTGGGACTATAGAAGAAATGTTTTCTTTATTATTGGGGTGAAAGGAGGAAGAACAGAAATCAACCTATTATTATTATTATTATTATTATTATTATTATTATTATTATTATTATTTCATATTTTTTTCTCCCTCTCTTTTTCTTTGGTTCTGTTTCTTTTCAGTATGTGTATTGTGTTGTATTGTGGTAAAATGAATAAAAAATATTTTTTTTAAAAAAGAAATCTACCAACCAGCACCTGAGATTTTCCATAACTCAGGGCCCTTCCACATAGCCATATAACCTAGAATATGAAGGCAGATAATCCACAATATCTGCTTTCAAATGGGTGATCTGAGGATGGTTCCAGACAGCACTAAATTGTGCGCTTTAGTCAGGGACAAAAACTCCCGGGACCTGAGAAGTTGTCCAGTAACAGACCTGTTGGTCCCAGGATTTCGGCCTCCATCATCCACACTTATTTATTTATTTATTTACAGTATTTATATTCCTTCTCACCCCACAGGGGACTCAGGACAGATTATAATGTGCATATACATGGCAAACATTCACTGCCATAGACACACAACATATATAGACAGACACAGAGGCAATTTAACATTCCAGCTTTTTTTTAGGGTATTTTGGCCACCAGGGGAGCTGTCCCTTCACCAACCATTTGTGACACTGAAGTTCTTCCTCATTATTTGCATGTTGCTGGAGACTTTTATGGCCTCATAAATTGCTTAAATTTGCTTCCCCGAATAAGCGGTACCTAAATTTCCTACTTGACTGATGCAACTGTCTTTTGGGCTGCAAAGCTCGACAGCAAGCTACACAATTCGGTCGGATGCTCACTCCGACCCGGGCTAGCTTTGAACTCATGACCTTTCGGTTAGTAGTGATCTTAATGCAGCTGACTCCCAGCCAGTTGCGCCACAGTCCACTTGCTGCTTTGTTGCGGGATTTTGTTGCCCCCAAGATGGCCACCATGAGACTTCCCCTGGAAATGTTGTGGTTTTTTATTTTTTAAAAACTTAAGATGCAAAGATGCGAATCATTGTATAAGTTCCATTTGTGCAGACAGGGTGTTGTTCCAGATTATATATGTCTGTCCCTGATTGCTCTTATTGTAAAAAGATGTACAACATTGACTAAGGGGCCACAACCTTGTCCTGACCAGAGAAAATGAGCCCTCCACACATTTCATGACGTTTCCAGCACACAAACAAAGTGTTTGCCTTCTGCTCAGGTTCCACCTTCTTTTTAGGAACCTACCAATCAGAAACAGACATCTAAAACTTGGGAACAAACCCAAACAAAAAATTCAGTGATTTCCGAGTGCAGGGGCATGCAGACATTTGAAGATGCGGATTTTCAACTCAGAACTGGGATATTCCCACACCTGAAAATCTCGTGTTTTTTGCTGTTCGTAGCAATTGCTTCCGCGTTTACAGGGAATGGCATTTGGCCACCCTCCTGTTTGCTGCGGGAGCTACTGGGATAAAGGTAACGTCTGGATGGGCCCCGAGTCCACACTGCCATATTCGATGTGGATTTTATACAGCTGTGTGGAAAGGGCCTCAGTTGCAACTCAGGGCCCTGAGATACAAGGCTCTTGTAAAGACAATATTTGAACATCAGCAATTTTGGGTCCAGGAGCTTCCTTTAGTTTTTATTCAAGCCATTTCCATGCTCGAGTCGAGAGTACAATTTTGGCATTATACTGTATGGGTACACTGGCAGCTCCTGTCCTGGCTGAGGGCCTCAGTCAACTTTGAGTAATTCCCTCTACTTTGCCAGTCTATGTGGCTCTAGGTCAATGTCTGGTCTTTGACCTAGAGCCACATAGACTGGCAAAGTAGAGGGAATTACTCAAAGTTGAGTAAAGATATCTGTATGACTTTAGATCCAATACTGAAACTATGACTAAGAACCAATTCATTTCCTGGTTTCAAAGGTACTATGGATGAAAATAATAGGGAAAAGTTAATGATATTGTCTCAGACAGAATTAAGTAAACAGAAAAGGGTAGATTAAAGCTCAAGGAGAACTGTGTACCTCCCTAGTATGTGGTTCTACAGAAGGACAGGTTGCCTAGTTGTAACTGTGTTTCTTCGAGCGATCATCCATGAAGTCACACAACTGCAGTATCACCCAGTTGTGTGTTTCACTAAGACCTTGAAGAAGAACCACATTTATTCATCTTGACTGTGGAAAGGAAAGAAGTGTATGTAACTAGTTAGGCATACGTGCATAAAAGTTCCTCATCTGTCTGCTTTTTGGCTCTTACAAGCATATACACAGAAGCCTTGTTGCAGGCTAGAAAACATGCAAAGGAAGTGAATTTTCTCAAGGAGAATGTGCTGCACAACATTAAGTTTCTTAATCTAGGAATCTTATTTTATTTTGTGTCAAAAGCACTGCATAGAATATTGTAAAGCAATGCTTTTGGATTGGGAAGATTAGCTGTTTACAAGAAACGTTGCCCAGGGGACGCCCAACTATCTTCGCACCCGTATCTTTCCTGATGAACCTGCACAATCTTTAACATCTTCTGTGGAGGCTCTCCTCTCACTCCCATCCCTGCCACAAGCACAGTTGGTGGAGGCGAGAGAGAGGGCCTCCTTGGGGGTGGCCCCCCAGCTCTGGAACTCTCTCCCCAGGGAGATTACGCTGGCACCCACCCTGTCCACCTTTTGTAAAGATCTAAAAATGTGGATGTTACACTGTGCTTTGGATCAGACAGTTCCTCAGATAATTTTGGCCCCCAGCTATGACCCAACATCTAGTCCTTACACTTTACTAGTTTTCCCTACCTGTAGTTATAGTGCTTGCTGGGACTCAGCCTGTGTGTGAACCTGAGCCTGAATCTCTGATTGTATTGCCTAATGCAGGTGCTAATGTTGATGCTAATGTTGATGGGCCTAATTTGGATAGTGAGGCTGAAGTGATCAATGAGGATGAGGCTCAAGATGAGACACTTTGGGCAATAAAAATCCTTCAGGCTTTGATTTAGAGGCTTCAGGGGAAAAGCCAAGTTCTCATGAGAAAGTTTCTGTCAGACTGAGAGAATAAAATTCCTCCTGGCCCGAGCTTGCAAGATAACTTGACACCCAGTTGGGTTAACGATAATAGTCGCAGTTTGGAGATAAGCCAGAACCGCAGGGAGGCTCAATGTTTACGCTGGTCCAAGAGACTCCGACAACTGAAACCAAAGGTTAGAATTAGCTGGAATCAGTTTCTGGGATTTAAGAGTGCCCGTGAGGGAGATTTCCTCAGACCAAGCATCYTTTAGAATCAAGTACAAACCTCCTGGGTTTCCAGTTTCCAGTGGTCTAGTCTCTAAGGGAATTTCTGGCTTCAAGTGAGATTAGCTGGGGCTAATCTGTTCATGGATTTCTATTGAGAGTTTTATGGACATTACTGCTTTCCTGCAAGCTTTCTGGACATTGCTGTTTCATTTTTGGCTTTTTTACCTTGGGACTTCATTCTATTTTATATTCATCATTCAATAAAAAGGAWTGCATTTTTCCTAAACCAAGGTGTGGTGTATTAATAACAAGKGGGCCCTGTTTCCTGATCTGAAGTACAACAGTGCTCTACTTCATATTGCCCTCTAGTCCTAATTTTGTAGTCCGGCTTTTGCACTTTATCCATCAGCCTTGTCCTTACGACTGATTTGCACCAGCTCAAACCCAGAAACCGTTTACTATATCAGGCCATTGGTTGTTTGCTCGATTGTTGTTTCTATACTGATGTTGTTCATTTTATATTGTTTTATGATGTTGCTTTATGAACTTTATTGTGGTATATTTTAAACTATGTTGATCGGGCTTGTCCCATTGTAAGTCACCCTGAGTCCCTTCGGGGAGATGGAGGGTTACTATTATTATTACTAGCTGTACCCACCACGCGTTGCTGTGGCCAACCTTCCTTCCCTCTTTCTCCCCTTTCTTTCTCTCCTTCCTTCCCTCTTTCATTCCTTCCCTTTTTTTTCTTTTCTTCTCTCCTTCCTTCCTTCTCTTCTTCCCCTCCTCCCTCCTTTTCTTTCCCTTCCTCTTTCTCCTCTTTCTTCCTACTCTACCTATTCTTGGACTGTATCTCCCAGCAGTCCTCCTGATCATTCAATCTACCTACCTACCTATCTATCTAATCTATGTGGAGGGTTTCTGGGAGTTGGAATAGGAAATTGGAAATATGCAGGGATTGGGATTTTTTATTTGTCGTGTCAGTGCAACCAGGGATTGGGATGCTCTCAAGGAAACCCAAGGAGAAGAAAGCTTCCAGTTTGGAAGCAGTACATTTAGATCATCCTCCTCTCCTAAAGGGTCTGGTCTAGGGGATGCTGGGAGCTGTAGTCCGGAAGAGTGTGTGGATATGCTATTGTGTGTTTTGTTTGCCAGATGGAGTCATTTTATACATGCGCTGTAGCATCTTTTTGCTTTTGGATGTTTAAGTCCCCTCAGCTATGTTTTATAGTGTTTTATGAGTGATGGTCACTCGTTGGCCTGATAGGTGTCTGTGTCCAAATTTCATGTCAATTTGTCCAGTGGTTTTTGAGTTGCGTTAATCCCACAAACGAACATTACATTTCTATTTATATATACTAGCTTTCCCCTGCCACGCGTTGCTATGGCCCAGTCTGTGTATATGTGCTTTGTGTGTATATATGTGTGTGTATATATTTGTGTATATGTGTATATATGTGTGTTTGCATATATATATGTGGTTTTGTGCATAATGTTTTGGCTTTTTAAGTCCCTTCTGCTGTGTTTTTCGGTGTTTTTATGTGTGATGGTTATTTGTTGGCCTGATAGAGGTATTCTGTCCAAATTTGGTGTCAATTCATCAAGTGGTTTTTAAGTTATGTTAATCCCACAAACGAACATTACATTTTTATTTATATAGAAGATTATTTTATTACTCCATCTTCAAGGAGGCTCTTTCTGAGGAAGCTGACTAGACAAGATGCCAGGAAAAAAAGCAACTCAACAATCTGGTTTGGAGCCATGTCAGTGAGACGGATGTGTCCTCTACAGAGGCAGACAATTAATTTCACTCCTCCTTTGACACTATGAGCAATCAACCCACTATCTCTAATAAGCTTCAATTTCCCATTTTGTCCAAACCAAGGGAAACAAACCAGTTTATTTAAACCAACTTGAAGCCATAGTAGTTTATAGCTTTGACTGCACAGGCTACACGCAAAACTCTAGTTCCTATCTTAGCTTAGTAATATGAGCTTTTGGTACTTTATCTGCAGTCAAACAAAAACATGAAGGGCTGTTAATGAATTTCACATCATACATCCCCCATTGCTTTCTTCAAAAACAAACAATAACTGTCAGAAATTGGACAGAATGACCCACCCCTTAAGCATAGGTTATTGAGGTCATTGGGGTATATCAAGACATAATCCAAGGAGGGCGACTAAAATGAGTTGGCCGAGGGCTGAGAAGAGCAGTATACAAATATAGTAAATAAATAAATAATTATCAAGGGTCTGGAGAACAAGCCCTATGAGGAGCGACTTAAAGAGTGGGGCATGTTTAGCCTGAAGAAAAGAAGGCTGAGAGGAGACATGATAGCCATGTATAAATATGTGAGAGGAAGTCATGGGGAGGAGGAAGCAAGCTTGTTTTCTGCTGCCCTGGAGACTAGGGTGCGGAACAATGACTTCAAACTACAAGAAAGGAGATTCCATCTGAACATTAGGAAGAACTTCCTGACAGTGAGAGCTGTTCAGCAGTGGAACTCTCTGCCTCGGAGTATGGTGGAGGCTCTTTCTTTGGAAGCTTTTAAACAGAGGCTGGATGGTCATCTGTCAGGGGTTATTTGAATGCAATTTTCCTGCTTCTTGGCAGGGCCCATGAGGTCTCTTCCACCTCTATGATTCTACAATGCTAAGGAAAGAGAATAAAACAGAGAAGTTCTGCTTATGGCCACAGAAGCTTTCACAAATAACTGGGTGTACTGGTTTGAGCATTGGGCTAAGACTCTTGAGAGTAGGGGTGTGATTCCACACTGAGCCTTGGCAACCCATTGGGTGATATTGGGCAGGTTTGATACTCCCTGCCCCAGAAAACCCCATGAAGGGCTCTCCTTGGGGTTTCTGTAAGTCCAAAATGACTTGAAGGCACACAGCAAGAAATGGAGCTCTTCCTATTGTGCCAAGTAAGTGCAAAAGGGAGACAGAAAAATCCAATAACCAAAGTAGTATATTCCAAGTTGGACCCAAACAATCAATACATGGACTATTTCATATCTATGCCTTCCTGTCTGATAGTAGTTGCAATGTATGATCGATTTACGTGCAAGGTAATCCACGGCTGAAGTAGTAGTCTGTTGGTTTGCTAAGAAACCCTTCTTTATGAAGTCAGTACTGGCTGCAATTTCTCCCCATGCCGCTTATTTAAAATCCCTGCGTCCAATGAAGTTGCAAGATCTCATGTCCATCCAGCTCAATTCGTTCTCCTTCCCTCCCTCCCTGCATGCATTGAGTGATAAAGAAAACTGAAGTACTTACATTGTACCAACTCTGGCTTTTCTGTAAGGACAAAATAAAACAAAAAAGAAAAAGTTAGTATGGACCTTTGGCACTAAAGAAAAGAAAAAGAGGAACGAAGAGAAAGGTTTAGGAAAGTGTTATAATAAACTTTGGTAAACGCAAAGGTGGGCAAATTGCAAAGAATGGAATTTGCAGGAATCTACAATGAAAGTTTAAGTGCTTATCCCACCAAAGCCAACATGGATCCCAAGTTACCAGTTGAGTAGGATAATACCCCAAACACCCACAGAAGGATACTGTTACTCATATACTCAAGTGTCACATCTAACCTGGCACTGCCAAGCAATGATCGATTAGCAATTGTCTTAGGATTTTTGCAATCAATTCACAACTGAGCCAAAGTGGAGAGGGAAAAAGCATCACGACAATCACGCCTAGTATCCTAAATCAGGCATTCCAAAGCTAGAAGGCATGGACTCCATTGCAAACTTAGGCAATGTTTTTAGATTTATTTTTTATCATATTCAAAACGCAGCAAAGCTGGGCTGTTCTTTCAGGGTAAACATAGGATGCATGCTTCCTTTACAGGCTTGATCCTGTAATTCTTACATGCATCACAAGTTCTTGGGCAGCTTAGCAGGCTAGAATTATGGAAAGGCAGCCATTTATAAGTCACTAGCCATCCCCTGCCACGCATTGCTGTGGCCCAGTCTGTGTATGTGATGGTCACTCGTTGGCCTGATAGGTGTATTGTGTCCAAATTTGGTGTCAATTCGTCCAGTGGTTTTTGAGTTATGTTAATCCCACAAACGAACATTACATTTTTATTTATATAGCCTAGCCATCCCCTGCCCTGCGTTGCTGTGGCCCAGTCTGTGTATATGTGTATATATGTAATTTTGTGCATGCGTTGTAATGTATTTTATTTTTTTGGCTTTTTAAGTCTCTTCCACTGTGTTTTACAGTGTTTTTATGAGTGACTAGCCACGCCTTGCTGTGATCCAGTCTGTCTATATGTGTTTTGCATGTGTATGTATTTGTGTATATGTGTGTTTGTATATATATATGTGTGTGTGTGTGCGTGTGTGTGTGTGTTGTAATGTATTTTTTGTTTTTTGTCTTTTGAAGTTTCTTCCGCTGTGTTTTCCAGTGTTTTTATGAGTGATGGTCACTCGTTGGCTTGAAAGGTGTATTGTGTCCAAATTTGGTGTCAATTCGTCCAGTGGTTTTTGAGTTATGCTAATCCCACAAACGAACATTACATTTTTATTTATATAGCCTAGCCATCCCCTGCTCTGCGTTGCTGTGGCCCAGTCTGTGTATATGTGTTTGTGTGTGTGTGTGTGTGTGTGTGTGTGTGATGGTCACTTGCTGGCCTGATAAGTGTCTTGTGTCCAAATTTGATGTCAATTCATCCAGTGGTTTTTGGGTTATGTTAATCCCACAAATGTGCATTACATTTTTATTTATATAGATTGAGCAACATACCTACACCTTTAACCAGGGGTCCTCAAACTAAGGCCCGGGGGCCGGATATGGCCCTCCAAGGTCATTTACCCGGCCCTTGCTCAGGGTCAGCCTGTCTGAAACGACTTGAAAGCACATAACAACAACAATCCTATCTCATCAGCCATAAGCAGGCCCACACTTCCCATTGAAATACTAATAAGTTTATATTTGTTTAAATTGTTCTTCATCATAATTATTGTATTGTTTGTAAGTGTTTTTCCACTACAAATATGATATGGGCAGTGTGCATAGGAATTCATTCATGTTTTTTTTCAAAATATAATCTGGCCCTCCAACAGTTTGAGGGACTGTGACCTGGCCCTCTGTTTAAAAAGTTTGAGGACCCCTGCCTTAAACCATAGACTGTACTCACTAAACCAGCCTGGCTCGCAACAACGAACACAAAGACCCTAAAACAGTGCCTATTTCACTTACTCAAAAGGCAATTTTTTGATATCTAGATTCCACTGCTATTTTATTTAAGTTTAGATTCTGGTTCAGGATTAGGACTTCAACTCCCACTTTGGCTGTGGCCAGCAATTCTGAGGTGCTTTTCTGCAACGTGAAGATGCCATCCATTTTTTATTTATGTGATTGCATGGTGTCTTTCCTTTAATATTATTTACTTTGTTTATTGAATACTTTTTTTGTTTTTGAACTCTACTTTCTAACCGAATATGGAATGTTGTCTGAAAGATAAGCCAGAAATGCTCTTAAAATAAATCTATTGGGTGGTCATTTTTAGAGGACAGCAATCCATCTCAGGTAAAATGTTGTACATACAATGGGCCCTTGGTATCTGCAGTGGATACCAAAATCCATGGGTTTTCAAGTCCCATTATGTGCAACAGAAAATTGCTTCCCCTTATATAAAATAGCAATATCAACATTTGCCTTTTGGAATTGTTTCTGAATATTTTCAAGCCATGTATCGTTAATGGAGGCCCCCTGATGATGCAGTGGGTTAAACCGCTGAGCTGCTGAACTTGCTGATAAAAAGGTTGGTGGTTCAAATCCGGGGAGCTGGGTGAGCTCCAACTGTTAGGCCCAGCTTCTGCCAACCTAGCAGTTCGAAAACATGCAAATGTGAATAGATCAATAGGTTCCGCTTCTGCGGGAAAGTAATGGCACTCTGTGCAGTCATGCTAGGCACATGACCTTGGAGGTGTCTATGGACAACACCGGCTCTTCAGCTTAGGAATGGAGATTAACACCACCCCCCAGAGTCAGAAACAACTAGACTTAATGTCAGGGGAAACCTTTACCTTTACCTTATACTCGATGGATTCAGAACACATTCGCCACCCTGCCCTGCCCTCCCACCCAAAGCATGCTATTCTAGCCCACTGCTTTACCTAAGAATTGGAATAACAAGGTGACAGTCTAAAGGGAAAAGTGGAGAACCGACAGGAGGAGAACACAGAAAAGATAGAATCAAGTCCTTACTTTGATTAGGTTTAATCTGTCATACTGGAAAAGAAAATCATTAAACATTAGCATAGGCGAAAAAGAAATGCTATATATGTCTATTTATATAGGATATAGGATGGATAGCATCTGCACAAGAGGACAAAGGAAAGGACTACAGACAAGGAATGTACGAAGCTACACTGGCACAGGAGGAGACATCATAACTACGCCATTGCATACAGCTCTACAGCTAAGCAGTATCTTCTAATGGAAAGACAAGAGCAGCTCTCTCCATCCTTGAATACGGAGCTGCCGTCCAGCTGAATGCAAGTGAAAATACTGCATAGGAAAGGTGTGCTCAGCTTTGGCTGGGTCTGCATTGCATACTCTGCAGGCTTCTCATGCAATCCAAGGATGGTGCCTCCAACATCCTTCTATTTGTTTACACCAACAAGGGTCAATTGTTTGGTACAAACTGAAGGTGGATCAGGAAACTTGGTGAGATATGTGCTTTTCTCTTACTTCAATTATTATTATTATTATTATTATTATTATTATTATTATTATTTCATATATTTATATCCCTCCCTTCTCCCCACAAGCGCGGCCTCACATGAGCATCAGAGGATACTAACAGCATAAATACCATAAAAATTACAATTCACAATAAAATCATTTTAAAGCATTGTACAACATCATCAGTAAAATTTAACAATAAATTAATCGATTAACGTGCCAGTAAAACCAAGCCAAGCCAAGAGAATCCATGTCGCAAAATCCAAATTTCCTTTTCCTATTGCCGCTGGCCTCTAATCGAACACCTGGCCCCAGAGACAGGTCTTCAGTTGTCTTCTAAAGGACAGGAGGGAGGTGGCCAACCTGATATCCTTTGGGAGAGAGTTCCATAAACGGGGGGTCACTGCCGAGAAGGCCCTGTCTCTTGTCCCCACCAACCACGTTTGTGAGAGTGGTGGGATCAAGAGCAGAGCCTCTCCTGATGATCTTAAGCTTTGTGGTGGTTCATAGCAGGAGATATGTTCGGACAGGTAATCTGGGCCAGAACCGTTCAGGGATTTAAAGGTTAAAACCAGCACTTTGAATTGTGCCCGGAAGCTAATCGGCAGCCAGTCGAGCTGGCACAACAGAGAAGTGGTACGCTCCCTGTACGTAGCTCCAGTTAAGAACCTGGCTGACCGCTGGACTAATTAAAGCTTCCAAGAAGTTTTCAAAGGCAGACCCATGTAGACAGCATTGCAGTAGTCTATTCGGGATGTAACCAGAGCGTGGACCACCGTGGCCAAATCAAACTTCCCAAGGAACGGGCGCAGCTGGTGCACAAGCTTTAACTGTGCAAAAGCTCTCTGGGCCATCACCGAGACCTGGGGTTCCAGGCTCAGCGATGAGTCCAGGATCACTTCCAAACTGCGAACTTGTGCCTTCAGGGGGAGTGTAACCCCATTCAACTCAGGCTGTAACCCTATCCCCTGTTCGGCCTTTCAACTGACCAGGAGTACCTCTGTCTTGTCTGGATTAAGTTTCAATCTGTTCGCCCTCATCCAGGCCGACACAGCATCCAAGCACCGGTTCAGGACCTGCACAGCCTCCTTAGTAACAGGTGGGAAGGAGTGATAGAGCTGAACATCATCTGTGTACAGATGACATCTGACCCCAAAACTCCGGATGCTGCTGTCCAGCTGAACGCAAGTCTATGTGACAGCACGAACAACCAGGAAAATAACCATCTCTAATCTTTGGAGGTGGTTGGAATGCTGAATTCTCTATCTCAAGAAACATAGGATGTAATGACAGTTTTGTTCTCAAATACCCATGGTATACTATGACTGCAACTTCAGCAGCAAAGTACTACTATATATATCTGTACTTGGATCAGTACTGCTACCTCAGGTTACTCTTCCTTAAGTTGGAGTAGTGGACAGTAAAAGGCCGATACTCTTCTACTGAAGGGTCCACTTGTGCGTATAGTATTTTGTTATTCCAGTTTCCAGATATTGATGATTTACAAAAACTATCCATGACTGAGATTATAAAACATGCCCAAATACCCATTGTCATGGAACCCGTGAAATTAAAAATATCTCCAGAACATCCAGCCAATATAA